ATAGATGAGATCTTGTGGATTATTATCATTTCTGAAGCTTAGAGTTGCTACTCTTGGTGTTATTTTGATCCTAGAGTCATAAAGCTGTCATCTTTGAAGCTTAGAACCATCCATGCATGAGTTATATCCATTATATTGTAAGTAGAATGTTATAAATCGAAGTTGGGATCTTTTGGGGCATGCAAAGTCACCAAGTCATAAAAAAAATACTTTTTAGATGATATTAAATGACTACTTCACCCCTCTATCTACAAATGATTCTTACCAAACAATACCTCTGCTATTAAAAACTATTACAGAAGTAAAAGTGTAACTAACAAAATTCAACATAATTTTTTTAAATTAAATTAAAGTGAATAGTACTCACGTTATATGTAAAATTAAAAATCATCATTTAAAAAAAATATTAACTTTCAACATAATATCCTAGCAATGATGTTAAAAACATAGAAAATCAAATCAAAATTGGTTTATTAAAGATATACATTAGTTACCGGCTTATTTATGTATAATTATCATTATTTTAGATCAATTTCTTAAGATGTATCTTTTATGTATACCCAACATTTCATCCAGTTTAGACAATTTACCTTCTTTTTTAGTCAAAGTATCAACATGATTGTTTACTCATTTTTAATAAAATTAATAAATATTTACTAAAATTGATGAAATAATAAATTATCTAAAATGTTGATTGACTAGAAAAAAGGACAGAATATGAGAAAGTTGGAGAAAGGGATAAAAAATAATCTCTGAATCGCTGATTGTGTAAGTTTAAGATTTAGAATAAAAAATAATATAACTTACTTTGTTTAATGATTTCAATAAAATAGTTTAACGTGATGGTTAGTTAATAATAACGATTAAAATATGTAAATGAATAAAGATTCTATGACATATGAAACCTCCTTATGACATTCTACAATGATAACTTAAAAATGATTTGTTTTTAGTTCAATATGATACCTTTAAGTCTAATTGAATCATGATATTTTTAAATTAGTATTACTTAAATATACAGACTAAAGTGTAAACTTAAACATGACATTATAAAATATAATATAATTCTGTTTTTCCGTTTAACCATCTATGGCAAAAAAATGTGAACCGAAGAACTGAAGATTGTACCAGTTAAGTTAGCAAAATTGAAGCAAATTAGAAAAATGGTAACACACTTTGTTTTATTTTCTTATTATAGCATCCTACATGATTATAGTTACATCAATGCCACAAGAAAAGATCATATTTTTCTATTTTGGTTAGACTAAAAAATAGCAATGTACTTTGCTAGGTATCAGAATAACAGAAGTTAAGCTCTAAAATTATGCGATATGGAGAACGTACAAAGCGCCCGTTGCATAATGCAAGAGTTTGAGCTTGAATTCCATTGTTTTGGAGGTTAGTTTTGCATTTTCACTAACCGATTAATCTCTCGTCTTTATATTAAAATATTCTCTTTTCTTTTAATAAGAGAGGTGTTATGCTCGAACATAGCAAATATCTTAGCTCAAACATGAGTTAGCCGCAACAAATCAAAAGCTTCAGGTACATTATCATTATCTTTATAGTAAGTTACATTTTTGGTCCCTGATATATATATATATATATATATATATATATATATATATATATATATATATATATATATATAGAGGTTCAAATGTTTTTCATAATTATTGTGTTTATGAATGTACCAATCAAACATTAGCAAAATATTAAATAATTTTTTAATTCAATAAGGGTATTTTGGAGATTTTGTATTCTCAATTAATGGAAATATTTAAATGAGATGTTATAATTAAAGAAAGAAAATAAATATTTTGACCTAATCTTCCTTTTATATTACTAGAGCTTCTTATCGTCATCGATACACGCCTCCCTCTTCCACCTCCAACATCAGATCATCGTCTTTACCCTCTCATCTATGCCGCTTCTGGATGGTGCTGCCTCCGCCCCATCGTGTTTATTTCTTGGGTTTATATCAAGATCGCATAAATGTCTCCTCTATTAGGTGGTGTTATGTCTTCTCTATTAGGTGGTGTTATAAATTCAAAATCCAATTCAAGTACCTTCTAGTAAATGGAACTGATAATGAGGAAAAAATATTCAATTCATTTGGATGGTGGAGTTGTTGGTAATCGGCAACATGGAAGCATCAACAAAGGTAAATTAATTATTTAACTTTTTTCCTAATCGCACACGCATCATCTTTATTTACTGTTTTGAAAATCTGGACATGTAATTTAGTATCTATTAACCAATCACAAATCTCAAATTATTTCTCAATTCAAGATTTCCATCGATGATTATTGGTTTATGTGAACTATCGATATTAATAGCAAATATAAGTTGAAGTATAATAAAATATTAGTTGTCGTATTAAATTCCACAATATACAAAATGCAAAATAGTAAAGTTGCATAGATACAAAAACTAAACTAAACAATATTATAATAGGATGTTGTTCAAGTTTTTTGCTATCGGGTAATACACACCATTGTAACTAATGCAAAATTTGTTTTTTATTGTTTTGATAATTGAGGCTAGATTTATGGTTTAATATTTTAATAATTTGTAGATAAGTTGTTAATTATTCATTATTTGTAGTCAAAATGATGTGTGTTTTTGAAATTGTATTCAAAAATTGGTGATCGTGGTGAGACTTTAGAACGTAAGCTCTTTGTAGCTTCGCAAGATAATTTTTATTTTTCTTATATTATGTAATTCAATTTTATTATTTGTCAATGTATTCTAACAGAATACAAACTTTTTAGGAAAATCAAATACACAATATAGTGTATTTTATAAGAATATATTACGTTTTGTGAAGTGTATTCTCTTATAATACACTGAAATTTTTAATATATGAAAATTGATTATGTTTTCTCTGTGGATTTACGTTTTGAAGCGACTATTATTGATGTAGAAAATGAAGAAAACACAGAGAATGAGAGTATTTTAGCAGAATGTATTCTGCCTGAATGTATAAAGTGTTTCTTAATTATAATATTCTTTCAGAATGGATTAATGTTTTTTTTTTCTTTTTTAACCATTATTAGTTTTAATCTTTAAGAATAAATGTAATTCTTAAACCATTATTAATCATATTTTTTTTTTCAGAATGAATGTAATAATCGTTTTATAATCTTATTTTTTACGAATTTATGTAATTAGTGATTCTTAAAGAATAAAATTCGTATTTCATAGAAAATGTTATTTTTGATAATATGTTGTATAATTCTTTAAGCATGTTAGTTATAAAAAAACATATTGCATGGAACCATATTCTGCAAGAATAAAGTAAAAAATATAAGGTAATTTATCAAAAATATCTAAATTGGAACTATATTCTGCAAGAACAAAATCGAAAATATATTTACTAGCTAATTGTTGGCATTTTATCATTCTAACAGAATAAAATCGGTTTTTTAAATTTGGATTAATTTAAAAAATTCTGATTTTTAAAAATAAGGGAATTAATTATCCCTTAAAATCCGAAAATTTCCTTTTTTAATATAGGTTAATCGACCAAAATACCATTATGCTAAAAATTGTGTGATTATATGGTACATGTTACCCTATAGTAATATCATAGACTCTCAGATCATGATAATTGATTATAATCCATCCGTTGGTCCAGATTTGTGCTTACGGGCACACAATAAATGCTAGGAACAATTGAACCTAGCCATATATATATATATATATATATATATATATATATATATATATATATATATATATATATATATATATATAAACCCTCCGGTGTACTGGCACGACATGCCTGTTATAATCATAAATGATTATATAGCGCCGCCCGTTCCTTTCTCCTCCGCCACCATCCCGACCACCGCAACCGCCACCGCCAGCACCACTACCACCACCTCTGACACCAACCGACCCCACCATTGTCCCCTCCGTAACTTATACCACCACCTCTAGGGGTGTAAACGAGCCAAGCTACTCGCGAGCTACTCGGGATCGGCTCGTTAAAAGCTCGACTCGAAACCTATTTTAAACGAGCTTGAGCCGAGCTCGAGCTTAATATTAAGCTCATTTATTAAACGAGTTCGAGCTCGAGCCTATGTCACTAAGCTCGATTAGGCCCGCGAGACTAAACTAGCCTTTATATAATATAATTTATTATTTTCATATATTAAAATAAAAACATATTTGGGAAATTAGGGATTTAGGGTATTAATAAACGAGCTTCTTAACGAGCTCGTGCCGATCTTAATCTTATTTAGGCACGTCAAATGAAAAACGAGTCGAGCCCGAGCCCGAGCCGAGCTTGTATAATTCTTTAGGAGCTCGAGCCGAGCTCAGTACAAGAAAGCTCGAATCGAGCCGAGCTCGAGCTCGAGCCTCGTATAACTTAAACGAGCCCGAGCCGAGCCTGACCAGGCTCGAGCTCGTCTCGACTCGTTTGCACTCCTAACTACCTCTTCTGCCACCAACTGTCATTTTACCTCGAATATGAACCGTAAATTGATAAATGCTACAAAAACTTCAATTAAGAACCAAATTTGCACGAGAATACTATTTAGGATAAAATTTGCAAAAATCATCAATACTTAGGGACCACAAATGTAACTATACAGTTAACTTTCAAAAGATTGCTACTTATTACTATTTTTCCAAATAGATGGTTGATTTATCTTCATTAGAGTTAAAGGAGAATATGTCGACCAAAAACAAATTGTTTCAAAATTAGTGTGTTAAATAACCATTTTTCCATTATTAATTATGTTTTGACAACTAAGGCCCTGTTTGATTTGGATCTAACTGAGTCAGGTCAGACAAAAATATCTGACTCAGTCAATTCTATGTGTTTGATATGCCTCAGTTTTGCATCTGATTGGGTCAACAATGTCTGACACGCTCATCACAAAAAAACTTGTTGACTGAAAAAGTGTGAAATTGATTCCACCGTTGCCCTTGAACCAGCACCACCCTCACATCCTCCTTTCTCATAGCCATCAATTTAATCCCTGGAAATGGAAAAAGAAACACGAACAGAGGCAACAAATGATGTGGTCCGGTGGAGAATTAGCAAAAAGAAACACAAAAGGGCTAAAGGGGAAAGAAGGGTGGAGCATATTGGGACCGGTGATGGCAGATCGGTCGATGGGGGCTGCTCTGACATCTCCTCTTGCTTCTTCTTTCCTGACCCGACAAAACACGAAGAGACTATTGCCTCTTTCATCTCGCCGGAAAATGAGGGGCAAGAGGTTGTTGCCTCTTTGATGTCGCCGGAAAAAGAAAACAAGCACCACCAAGGAAATAAGTGTTTCATGTTTGGGTATATGGCTTCTATGTTGCCTCTTTGACTCTTTGAGGGCAACTGGGCAAGGAGGAAGAAAAAGAAAAAAAAAGAGAAAGAAAAGAAGAAGCAATATGTGTACACGTTTTTTGGATATCAATTAGGAAATAAGAAGAAAAAGAAACAAAAGGTGTATACATTATTATTATTATTATTATTAAAATTAATATATTATTATTATTATTATTATTATTATTATTATTATTATTATTATTATTATATAGAGCATAAGGGTAAAATGATCATTTTGTATCGGTCAGCATATTCAGTCAGATGTACAATCAAACAACATGGTTGCTTACTCAGTCAGAATTTATTACTCAGACAGACCTTTCCCAGTCAGGACTTTCTCAATCAGCAACTATCAAACGACCATTGACTCAATGTTTATTTGGATTTAATGGTTTTATACTTGCAGGAGCTAAAACAGAAATATAAGGTTAAGTCATCGATATAGTTGAAAGTGGGATGTTTTATATTGTCATCTTAACAAAGGGACATATACGTGGAACAGTTACCTACTTTAGTCTAGCGACCAATAGGGCAATGTATTTTATATTTTACCTATAATAACAACATATTCCATTTTTTATTGATAATAGCAATGTACTTGCATTTCACTACTTATATGGGTTTTGTAATTTGTTTGTTGTTGATAAAAGCTTTTAAGTACATTGTTTTTATGAGTAAACATTTTAGGTATGTTTTTATATTGTGATAGCAACATATTTTCATTTATTCATGTTACAACATTTTCACTTTAGAATTTACCAATTATAAAAATATTATCCTAATGCGATTTTAGTTGAATTTACAGTTAGGTTAACTGTAATGAATGTAGGCTGCTATAATAATAATAATAAAAAGTTTGTATGTGTTTGTATAATTGGAACAAAAGAACATTATAAATACAAAAAATAATGAATTTCATAGTATATCTTTCTGCTTATACTAAATTTTAGTCCCTCGAGTTAGATACAACATAAAGATGACCTAAAATTTGTTATTCTCACCAAAAGTAGCAATGTATTTATTATACTATCTAAGGGGCTGTTTGTTTGGCCTTTTAATGATCCTATAAAGAGGATGGCTCTGGATCGTTTCGATTCAGAGCGTTTGGTTGAAGCTATTTTAGCCTTTTAACAGACCAGACATTAAAAAAAAAAAGGGTCTTATTCGGTCGGATAGAATATGGAGTCTGGATGAAAAAATTTATTTTGATGCCCTTGCCGAAAAAAACAGATATCATGTCCGCCTCTTTTTTCTTCCCCCTTCTACTTCCAGCGGGCACTCATCCTTCTCAGCTACACCGCCGATTTCAAGTTGCAGTCTGACCACCTACAGCGCCGGTCCACCTCCGCCGTCGCCGCCTCCCTCCTCGTCGCCTCCACCTTCGCTGGTATGTTTTTCTACTTTCTTCCATGAGTCGATTTTTCAAGCATACCTCCCATAAATCTATTTCTGAACACAAAATCAATAAATTACTGTGTTCTTGTGTTTGGTTGATCGATTTTTGTGAAATCGATTTTTTCAAGCCTAAAACTTGTTATCTTGTGTTTGAACTCCAAAAATATTTGTTCACTTTGTTTTTGTTGCTGAATTCTGTTGATTTTGTTGATGTATCTTGTGATTGAACTCCCAAATCTGCTATGTTCTTACTCGAATTTTGCTGCTCTATTGTTGTTGGATTTTGTTGCTATGAATAAAAAGTTCAAAATTGATGAAACCTCTTCAAAATTGCTTAAATCTGTTCTTGCTGAATTGTGAATACTAGACATGGAAATCTGAAAATATGTGTCCGTGAATTGCTTGAAAATATGTGTTTGTGATTGCTTGAAAATCTTGAAATGTTTTTTTTTTGAAAATATTTGTTCAGGAAGTTGCTAGTGATGGAAGATATCCACCAATAAAACAGGTTCATCAATGTTTTGGAAGCAGGATTGCAAGAAGCCCAATGATCCAAAAACAGATTCAAAACGAGCCCTCTTCAAGGAGATTGTTGATGAAGAAGCACATAAATTTGAATATCATAATCCAATTTGTTTGAACTGATGTATTGGATGTTGTGTGATGTTTATTCTGTATTTAGAAAATAATTTAGAAGGTTAAAATGGTCATTTTTCTCATTAAGATGCACACATTCAGATGACTAACCAAACATCCATTTATGCTTAGATATAAATATAAATTCCTAAAAAGTGTGATGCTACCAAACAGCCTAAGTATACATTCTCTCAAAAATTCCGCTCACATCGGGAAGAAGAAGCTGGTTGGGCTGCCACTGAAAGCAAACTTTTCTGGACTGCGTTACCCCTCATGGCTCATTACTTCCTAAAACTAGGGTTTACAATTTCACTACTCTATATAACCTATTAGTTGCGTATCTCTTCAATCACACCTTTTCACCAAATTCATCTTCTAAATTCATAATTTTTTCTTTTACTTCTTTTTATGTTTTGCGATTTCGATTTTCAATTAAGCAAGTTCCGATGAGGAAGAAATCCCCTTAAAGATAGGAAGTGCCGTATGATACTTTAAACAGCAGCGGATCACGGCGGCGTCTCATTCCATCCACCAATTCGCCGGCCTCCGATCATTAACACGATCTTAGAGCTCAGTTCGTTGGTCGGGATTCGCGTTCTTGCCTCTTCCACTGTGTGTGTGATTTTGAACGGGTCTCTGAGGTTTTTTCATCTATTTTTCTATCAAATCATTTGATCTTTTTTCATATATTCTGGTTCGATGCCACGTCGACGGTAGCCAAAAACTGCAGTGACCGACGATGCTATGATTGAACCTATAACAGACTTTGTGTCTTTCGCAATTTTATAGGAACCTGTGAACTGATTGTTTTCCGTTCATTCACAGAGCCGGTTTTTGCGATTACATTTTTTTTTAAAAATCTTTTTAATTGATTGATTTTAGATGAAATTTGTGTATTGCCAATGAGGTATTAAATCGTTATAAGTTGGAATTACCGACTGATTTCACATTGATGATGGATCGACTATCTGAGGCAGTAAAAATCATTTTGAATTTTGTGGATTTTAATATACCAAAGGTAATATTTCAATAATCATATTTGTTATATTTTACTTGAAGCTCCTAAATGATCGAGAGGTTCTTTTTTGCATTATTATTATATCAATATTCAAAGTAAAACTGAATTATATATATGTTAAACCTGAATAGTTGGATAGACGAACAAAATTGATTATATATGAAAGAATCGTTGATGATAGAAGCCAAATTTGAGATCGCTAACATTCTAAGAAACAAGAAAAGAAACTAACTCTTGGAACAATTTTTGCTTAATCATTAATCAAAATGCATGTTGCAATTTATAAAAACATGAAATCGTTTGTTAACTAATATTAGAAGAAATATGCGTACCTGAATAAAATTAACTTAATGCAAATATGCAATAAACTTCCAGCGGCGTTTGAAATAAGACCAAGTCCCGTTTGATAATGTGTGTGTTGTGTGAGAAATGTTTGTCTGTGTAATAAACTCTTACCGAGTGAGAAATCAAGCTGTTTGATGTGTAATAAACTCTTACTGAGTAAGAAACCAAGCTGTTTGATTGTATATCTGATTGAATGTGCTTACCGGTAAAAATTGATATTTTTACCCTGATGTTGTATACAGTGATGGTTGATGTTCCTGAATAATTATAAAAACATACAAACTGTCATACAAAATGTAAATTACACACAAATCATTTAAAAATCCAAATTAAAGTTGTGATACAAACTTATAAGTTCGTTATACTATTTCTTTATATCATTTTTCATTCTATATTTTATAAAAACCATGCCCAATTATTACCTCATAGGTCAAAGTACCACCAGATGAGTCAGGTTGTCGAAGGGTAACACTGGAAATGACACCATTTGCTGATAAAATGCATATTGCACAGGTCCTTGTTGAGAAAATGATACAAGGTTTGTTGTCACATCCTAATATAAACCCAAAAGTAAAGAAAAATTTGTGAACACCAATAATCAAGAATTATTCAAGAACAATGTTGCATTTGCACATCTATCATATATAATTTTTCACAAAACCCATAAGGGTAAAATAGTCAATTTACCTCTCCCGTGTTAACATTGATGATATGAGTACTAAAGTTAGCACCAACCGCACTTGAAACCGAATCACCTAAGCAAAAAACAATAAACAATGTTAAAAAAATTGAAAATCTTTATAAACTACACATTATATTACTTCAAGAAATTAAAAAGAAAAAGAAAAAGAAAACTCGATAAATTCCTATTTACAGACAAAATGTGGAAGAAAACCCCAAGCAGATAGGAACTTTGAGCCAACAACCAAACTCCACAAGATAATAAAAGCAAAATCAATGGAGTGATGGAGTGATCGGGGGTGGATTTTAAAATCGGAACCCAAACATTCAACAGGAAAATCAATTGAACAACATACATTTAAGAGAAGAATCAATTGAAACATGAAAGTTTTACCTATGAACGGTTATTTCATCATCTATAAATTCTGTGAACACCCTCTTCACAATCAAAGCGCCTTTCTCCGATTATCCCTTTCTAACAATCATGACTCTCAAGTTTGAAATATTACAACATCACAGTTAGAATTCCGATTGTAAGTTTCTCTGTTGTTCATTCTTGTTGGAAGCATTTCATCTTATGATTAGGGTTTTATTGCTCTTTATTTGTTTAATGTAATGCCCGTGTTTCTAGGCTAGACATTAATATTGACATTATAGTCTAGGTTAACCTTTGTAACTCATTTTGAAGAAATGAAATAGGAATTATGTGAATATTATGTGAATTATGTGTTTTATGCTTAATTATTAGGGTTTAATTAATTAAGAATAAAAATGAGCGTCAAAAATTAAATTTTAGATAAAGCCGATATCTATTAAGAAACTTGTAGTGGGCGTGACAAGGATTACGGATATATAAAGAATGCCGATATCCGAGTTATAACGAAGAAGTTATGACCTTTCGAAGTTTCACGACAAACCAGCACGGGGCCGAATGTCGTAAAAAGTGAGTTTTCGATAAACTACTTTTTGGCATTAGTGATCTAAACGAAACTCGTAGTGTTCGTTAAACTGAGAGTAGGCATAAAAAGAATGCCCAAATCTGACTTCGTATGAGGAAGTTATGATTTTTCGAAGTTTCAACTTAGCAGTAGACAGCTAAAAACTCGAATTTTAGATCGAGTGATTTTTAGCCGACACGACCTAAACGAGAATCGAAGGTCTCGTCATTAGTAGCACAACGGTAAAAAGTCTGACGAAAACGGACGTTGGATGAAGAAGTTATAAAATTTTAACGGATTTCCTGTCCTGGTCTGTTAAAAATAATAATATAAAAATTAAAGGCAAAATTAGCCGACGAAGTCTAAACGAAAGTTGTAGAGCATAATTTTACCTACGCGTGCATATAAAGAACGTCAAAAACGGAGCTCGTATGCGAAAGTTATGGATTTTAGAAGTTTTTGCACAAAAATCGAGAAAATTCGCATAGTCACGTTTTTGCCACGTCACCCTCGCTTAGATCGTGCCACGTGTCCGAAATTGGTGAGTCATGCGAGCCACGTGTCCTCGCCTCGCATGTGCCACATGTCCGAAACGAGGCTGAGTCATCCGAGCTGCTGAGCGGTCCAATGCATGTCCGACGCGTGTCCTCCTTCACATGTCTGAAGCCCTCGCAAGAAGCCACGGAACCCTACTTCGGACCAGTAGACCTCGGTCCAATCAGGAGAGGACAGCAAGCCTTCGCACGCGCAGACCTCGTGCGAGCCATCCCCCTGCGAGCTTCGGATCTGCGACACGTGGCTCCTTCTCAGCCGTCGGATCAGGACTTCGGACCCCTATAAATACAAGGGTCATGCGAACCCTCCCGGTTACTTTTGAGATTTTGCCATATTTAGCCCCTTTCTTCATATTTTCTTCATCTTAACATCCCCCAAAGCCCCGGTATCGATTATAAGCCTCGGAATACGCCACGAAGTGCCCGTGAAGCCCGGAAAATTTATCTTTTCGGTTTCGAAGCCCGACCCTCGCAGAGCCCGGTTTCTGAATAAAACTCTCGGTTTTATTAGAAACGAACGTTTTAGGAAACGAATTGCTGCCTGATTTTCATCAAATCAAGTGAGTGTATAGTCACTTTCATTTTACACAATGATATGAAGTATTTACCTTATAATACGTGCTATGTGTAAATATATTAATTGTTTATTTGAGGTGACTGTTGAGTTGATGTTTTATACAAGTTTTAAACTGTATACGTATTTTTATCTACAAATATGTTGGGTAGAACATGGGTAGATAGTTGGTGTGTGATGAAATAAAGTGATGAGAGGCCTCGTTGTGATTTGTGATTCAGTCATCTAGCGGAGTTTGGATGACGACCACGGACTTTCTAGACAGTCCAGTGGGAAGCACTAGCAGGCCCGCAACCTGTATGTGTTAATGAACTTGGGTGTTTATTCGCTGTACTCCAATCCCCCTCATGGTTGCCTTTAGGACATGTATGGCTAAGGAAACCCCTTAGCAATAGTGTCCATCCCGATGATATTCTTTAGGCTAGGTCCCTTGTGAAAAGTGTTTAGGGACGTAAAGTGAGGATAACGGGAACGGGTAATCAGGGTTATTATTGATTGATGAATTTAATAAGTTTATTATTACTATGGGTTGAAAATCCTATATGCTCACCAGGCTCCCAAGCCTGACCCACTCAGTTTTTTTATGATTACAGGTAGTGGACCCCGAGCATAGTCGGAGGATGACGTGAGATTTTTGGATTATAGGCCAGTGGTTGTAAATAACTGTAGTAAGGCTTATAATGTCTTGTTTATGCTTTTGATATGTATCGGAACATGACATCCCGAGGTTTTGATATATATGGAAAATATATACCTTCTTAATGAAGGGTTTTGATAAACTTTTATCATATGTTGTTTGGGGACCAATTCCGCAACATCTTTTGAAAAGATTTCTCTGATTTTATTTTAAAAAGCATAAATTAAATCGGTCTTTTCTGGCCGAGAAATTAGGGGATGTCACATTTAATTGTGGCTCTCTCACAGCCACTGATTTGCCACTAATCAAAAGGTTGAACAAATCAATTGAA